AGAGAAAAAAGTAACTTACTTTGGTTTCTTAGCCAGCTCACTTTTTGTGGTTGTATCGAAACTCGCGGCCCGACATCCATTTTGCTGCATTGAAGAACTATACAGAAAAGAAAAGGTGACAGTTAGAGGGAACGTGCTGCAAGCCAAAAACAACTGTATATTCGCACGTCACCCGACTGATTTTGGCCAGGCACAAGGCCCTAGGGGCGAAAGACCCATCTTTGAAATGAGTTTCCAAATACCATATCAACGACATTAAACCGTCTTACCAAGCCTGACAATCCACATTCAATTTCAGTTAAAAGTCAAATCAACTTCTATGAACATGCACATATATCACATGTGTCTGTTTTGAGCAGCATTTATTTCGTATATTGTGTCCGCTGCTTCAGTTGCAGGCCAACGGGTTGTCTTATGAGTTGGATTTGGAATAAAACAAAACAAGTGAAAACAAAGCTTTTAAGCTTTCAACTTGGAAGTTCCAGATGGCAAACTCTCTCGGTATAGCACAGAGTAAAATGTGTTTAATTCAGTAGAGTAGCAAAGCCCAAATGTAAAATACTCTGTTAGAAGTAAAAAATCCTGTATTGAAAATATTTCAAAGTTAAAAATATGTAAGGATAGGCTGAATGTACACAAAGTATCCAACATAAAACCAAGAGTGTAATCAGCATTTTCCTTTTGTTGATCAAAGTGGAGCGACTACCTTACTGTTGGGATTTACTTCCACTATAATGCATCATATTTTACAAAATCTATTCAATTCCAAAAGTAACTAGTTAGATTACTGGCAGTCATTCATTTAGTTAGCCTAAGTAAAAAGTACAGGGTTGAGTTTGATTGGAGCAGAAGTATTTGGTGTTTTCATTTAGGTGAAAATGCTCAAGTTGTACTTCAATACAGTGGATGAGTAAATGAACCCAATTGCATCTAATGCACAGCCTCTCAGTGGTCAAGACAAGCAGCATTACACCAGCAATAGATGGTTAAACAGAAAGGCGGTTACAAACATCACAACCACACTCTGGATCATCAACAGGTGGGCATCCTATTTAGTGGTGAATACAGAGCCGTGCTTCTAGCTTCTCCAAAGAGATAATGTACTGATTTGTTATGTTCTATATCAATGTGAACTGATCTCTTTGGTTTGGTATTTGAAGACGTCACCACTCAAACCCGAGTATGTTTTTAGAGAAAGTTATTAACATATTTATCATTAATAACAATAATCCTTACTTGTGCTGCCTAAATTGGTTTTATGCAGCCCAAGAGAACGCCATAAGAGAATCTTTCACATAATAATGAAGTCATTAACAATATTTTTCAACCACTGTTAACAAATGGCTTGGCTTAATGTCAGTGTCTAGATAGTTGTATGCACTGTTGGAATGTCTTGTAGTACATTTACTGAAGCACTGTCATATTTGAGGTACTTGAGTATTTGACAGCTTACTATAAACTACGATGCTTTGTTTTAGATTAACATTTTATACAAATACTGTAGGGCTGAAACAATTAATTGATTGACAGAGAAATTCATTTGCAACTGCTTTTCCTTATGAGACTTTAATGTTTAACTAAATTAACATTGTCTATGGATTTGTACTTGTCTGTGTGGTGTAAGTACTTTTTTTCTTCCTCCACTGGCTGTTTTTAAGGATAAGTCTACATTTAAATGTAATGCATATTCATACCAAATGTACATTTGCTATTAAAAGGTATATGTTATTTCAACAACATAAACTGTTTCTGTGTATCTGTGTGCACAGTATATGTGTATTTGTGTGTGTGTGGTGGAGAGAGAGGAAACCTTATTGTTTGATTGTTAGCTCAAGCTAAACAGATGCGTAAATAGAGATAGGGGAGCCCAGTCACATCAGATTAAACCAAACAACAAAAATCAAACTGTCTGTCCCACTCACTCTCCCACACACAAACACACACATGCTCTCACAGACAGAAGGTGTAACTGGGAAAACAAACAGACAGCAGCAGAGCAATGTGCCTTAATAAAACCTCCAACTTGTATTAAACACAACAGGAAGACAACTCCTGGACACTATAACTCTCATGTAAATGCACTCAGACATCGTAGGTCTTTGTGCGCTACAGAAACATACTGACACACTGTGGAGTAAATACAGTGATGACGCATACCATCACATGCCTCATAAACCCTAATGTTACCACTCCAATATCTCCATAGGCCCGAGGCAAAACGGAGAGACCGCCATGAGACAGGAAAAAAGAGGGCGAGAGGGGAGGAGCATACGGGCGAGCTATGATGATGAATTGATTGATGAATGCAAATGAAGATGAATGCATGTGGCAAATACAGATAACAAGAGGAATATGAAGAGTACAGCGGCTGGTTCACCTTTTCCTGTAGCAGAAAATATGCTGATATGTATCTAGCCTATTAATACTACAGCAGCGACAGTGAACGCAACCACTGAACCAGATATAGATCCCTTATCACCAATTGTGTGGCCCAGAAACAGCGGACACCAGTCTTTCTATACCATCTGGAGCCTAATCGCTGGGCCGGGGCGCGCTGATTGGCCTAATCGTCCCACATCCTAGCTTTTATTGCCATATGGACTGAGTCCTAAAACTTGCCATAGATCAGTGTACATGAGGTAACAGCAGTTTATTTTCTTAATTGCTTGTTGTTTGTAAGTACAGCTTCATGTCATCACAAAACATCCAGGGTGGAAACTTGCCTTGTTTATGTGTGTGGTAAAAGAAGCTGTTTTTTTGTGTGCGTTTTAATAATTAATTAATCGTTTGAGTCAGTTTTCAGGCAAAAATTCCAAACACTCTCGTTCTAGCTTTTCAAATATTTTCTCCGTATTACATCATTTGACTGTAAACTGAATCTCTGGGTTTTTAACTGTTGGTTGGATAAGACTAGCAAAATGTATTCTTGGGATTTAGGGAACTGTGACTATCTCCACAGTTAATTGAGAAACTGATCAGTAAATACGCCTTAATCTGTGTACCTGTATGTGCAATGTGAGCGTAGCGTACATTTCATAACTTTGGGTCCATGTGTTTGTACATTTCCAGACAGATAATTCTTTTTTTTCCCTTTTTTTTTTAGATATCCATCCTTGAGATTTCTTCCTTGCAGTTTCATTGGAAATACTTTATCCCTATGAAATATGGACACTATGACAACTGTTGACAGCTTGTTCTGTGGATTATCGGAGTAATGAGCAGGAATTAAAAAAGACATGCTGCATTTTTTTAAATCTGATTGAATGTATTTACCTTTATTGTAAGGTGGAGCCAGAGTATACTTTTTCTCACACACACATACACCGACACACACTACAGTGATACATCGAGAAGTAAAGCCCAATAAGGTTTTTGGAGAGAATGATGCGGTTATGGTTCCTCAGGACAGATCACTTGAAGCCTGGTAAGGGGATATCAGCCTCCATAGCCATTGATCCGATTACACACACACACACACACACACACACACACACACACACACACACACACACACACACACACACAAGCCACACACAAGTACACACACATACTGTATAAACACAATACTGCATCTTGTGTATTGCTTGGGGTAAGTCTTATATTGATGATTTTTAAACAGGATTGAGCTGAGGTGTGCCTCCATAATTGACCAAATACCCTCCAGGGGCAACAGACACATTTCTATCAATACAGTGAGACCTTTGGCCCACTTGACCTAAATCAGTTAATATTTAACTGGTCTATCTACCTCTGTGTGTGTTTTAAACTATGTGTGTATATTCTTTCTGTGTGTAAATATAGGAGACAATCCAAGGTCTGCGGAAAAGGTTAACCCCAATAACCAAACCACTTACTGAGTCGCCTGCTGCACAATGTGCTGATGATCTGAGGTTAACTATCACACCATTGAGCACTGATCCCAGATTACACACAGAAGAGAGGGAGGATGACTGAGGGGAAGACAACAACACACCCCCAATTGGAATGCACTTCTCCAAGTATCCCCCGTCGGATATAAATACAAATTAAATAAAAAAGCACATCCTAGTGAAGCATTTCTCTTCAAAAAATGGATTTCAAAAAGTTACTTCATTTTAAATATTTAATTTCAGCTCTGAACCCAAAACAGAAGGAGTTCAAATTCATTGCGTGTGCGGGTTCACCAAGTGAGCTGCAGTGTTGTTTTACTGCATGTTCCTACACTCTCTGCAAGCTGCTCACACATGACATGCTACTGTAGTCACACACACACACACACACACACACACACACACACACACACACACACACACACACACACGCACACATGCTGCAGCTCTCCATGCACCGGGCAGGGTGACACTCACATGTGGGTCCACAGACGCTGGTGTGGCGCCTCCGTTTTGCTTGGAGAAGCAGAAAGAGGAGATAGGGAGGCAGGAGAAAAAGGCAGGACGGCAGGGAGGGAGCCATGGATGGATGGATGGAGGGGAGGAAGGGGAGGGAGGGGAAATGCGGAGGGACGCAAGGGAGGAGGAGGAGGGGGAGGTGGGGGGGGCAATGAGAGGGCTGAGTGGTTCTAGTAAATATTTATATTGCAGTATGATACGCGCAAGAGTGAAAGAGAGAGAGAGAGGGGGGATAGGCAGAGAAAAGGGGGAGATATAGAGCGTCCATCCCTTTATTAATTTTATTCCGGACCGCTAAGTTTAGCATTCAACACGTGTCGCCAGTGATGGAGAGAGGGAGGGAGGGGGGGAGGAAACGAGAGAGAGAGGGAGAGAGAGAGGTTGACGGTTGCTAGGTGACGGGGCGCATATACTGAATTTTAACAAAAGAACAGGGAAAGAGGGAGAGAGAGAGAGAGAGTGTGTGTGAGAGAGGAGAGGAGAGAGGGAGGGAGAGAGGTAAAGAGAGAGACCGGAGAAATTGAATACATGTAGAACATATATATATATATATATATATTAGATATATATATTTTCCCGGCGTGTGTGTCTGTGTGTGTGCGTGTGTGGTGGCGGCGGTGGGGGGGGACACCCGCAAAACGGATACCTCAAAAAGGAAGGATGTGAAAAAGGATGGAGGGACGCAGGAAAAGAGGGGGGAAAGGCTGGTGAAAAACAGTAAGTGCATTTCTTTTTTCAATGATATTTGCAGTGCGGAGGCATTTTCTTCCCCCCGCACGCACACGCACACAGACTCTGTAGATTAATTGCGGCTCGGGTAGTGAGAGGGGGCTCCGCGTCATTGAGACGGGGAAAGGGGGCTCGGGTGTCGGCATCTGTACGGCCGCTGGTGATGGAGAGATGGATGGCCGGGGATGGAGAGGTGGAAACGGCCGGCGCACCGGGGCTTTGACCCCTCTGTCATTGCTGCGCCTGGAAACTCACAGCTCTTAGCCCCGTAATGTTCAGCCGGCTACATATCCCGATGATACACACGCACACTCATAGATTACCGGCAGTTCAATTAATCATATAGACTAAACCTGTAGGCTATGATTTTGTCTGCCAGGAATTTTCCATGCATTATTAATAAAGACAGAGTTTGGGTTCCGTTTAAGTCTTTAAACACCGGCGCTGGCTGCAGTTTCCCCCGCACTCTGCTGCGGATGTATTAATTGAGGTGATCATATCTGTTGATGCTCATTTTCTCAGGCTGCGTGGTCAATGTTAGTGTGTGCGTGAGTGCGTCTGCTTGCTCGTCTTGTGTAGCCACTGCTAAGCCCGCAAGATTGCCGATCAGTTTTTCCTCTTGATCTATTTTTATCCCGATACGCTGAGTATTTGGGCGTATGGCAGCACACTGTTATCCCTCTGTTGCCACCGAGGAATCTTCCCCAACGTGCTGACTTGCCTCAAACACCCTCGGACAGCTGGAACAGGCTTTTTCCAGCTGGGTGAAGGAGTGTGTGAGAGATTTCACTTTGTAGGTAGATTTAAATGTGCACCCCCTGTGGGTGACCATATAACTTTTGTTTTTGCCTTGCAGTAGTTTATTATAGAGGAGAAGTGAATTACAGGTGCAAACACAAACCGCCGCCATCACTCCTTTTTCTCTGAAAAAAATAAATGAAGGCCTTGGACCATAGCGACCACCAAGGGAAATCATGCTGTTGACCTGTACTATGGAGAGAGACACAGTGTTGCTTCTCTTACAGATTTGCTGCAGTGATTTGGATTGCAAGATCACATTTATCGGCCTGCACTGTGTGGCCACTGAATGCATTTATCCGGATGGAAATTGGAATTAATGTGTTGTTTGTTTTTCCATTTCTGTGGGCTGTTTGTGTCCCTCTCCTCTCTCAGCTGAATTCTCCAGCTGATATCCATTTCAATCAGCTCGTTCACCCACAGGTGACGTGCTCGGCCCAGTTCATCATTTCCCCTCGCAAGTCGTGTGAAATGCACACACAGGCGTACTGCAGCAGCGTACTGCATGCACTGCTGCCTGTAAAGTGTTGCCTTCAGTGTCAGCTGAGCCCCTTCTCTGCCGATCTGTCGTACAGTTGCCCAGAGAGATCTGTACTGTACCAGCTGTGAGTAGGGGTAGGCAGAAGGGGAGGGAAGAGGAGAGGTGATGAGCGACACAGAAGGTGTAGAGGGAGAGAGAAATGAGAGAAGGTGTGAGGAGGAGGTGGAGGAGAGAAGGCATGGGGGGAGAGCCGGGTGAGAGATTGGAAAAAGCAGCAGAATGAAGGGGAGAGAAAGAGAGGGGTGCTTGGAATTAAATATCAGAGGGGGACATGGTTGGAAGGCGCAGGATGAGAGGGATAGAGTCAACATTTGTGTGCTTGTTTTCTCCAACCCCCTGCTCTTCATCAATTTCACCTCATTGATTCATTGACTTTTGCACAGCAAAACCTTCAAGCTTAGCTCAATCCCCCCCTTCGCTTGTGTCTCTTTTCTTCTGCCAATCCCCCTGTTTCTTTTTGCCTCAATCCTTTCCGTCTCTTCTCTCACCCCTTGCAACCTGTGACTTCCTCTGCACAATTTCCTTTTCCTCTCTCTTTCTCCCGCCTCCCCTTTCATCATTTGTTTGATGCAACATTAGTGGATAGTTTCCTCAATTCCGCAGCCCACCAAAAACCCCTCTCCCACCCTTTCCACACGTTGCACCCAGTGTTCTTCTTAATACCACTAATTAAGGTAAAGCTCGTTAACATAGAACATCAATTAGTGTTTAACGAGATCAGAGGCTGGTGTTTTGGAGCGATTACAGTACTCCCCTCTCCTGGTGTTCCTCTGGACTCTACTCGGGGTTGTGCTGATGAACGTGTTGCATATTCACTTTGGCCTGCAGCGGTGCGAGAGACACATTTTATACACGTGGTGGCAAGGGGGTGTCATGTGACTTGGGATGCTTTGATCAATTATTAGAATGTAATGCTATGTTATTTAAGTTTCTTGAAGTGGGGTTTTCAGAGCAAAAACACATCTAACTCATTAACTACATATCTATATTTTCCCTAATAACATCCCTGACTGGTGCTCGTTAAATTAATCTGTATGATTTTCGAGGAATATAGCCCTATATTTAAATCAGGAGAGACACTTTATAAGACTGACTCCTTTAAAAGTAAGTACTAGTCGAAATGTCACACCATTGTCTTATTCAATGCAGTGATTCAGGCTCTAAACAATAAATGAACACATTGATAAAAGCGACAGGGATATACTTGTGGGCATTTAAATAGATTGCAACCAATGCAGTGTATATCAGTATTCTAGCTGTAGCTAAAACATTTAAAGACATTAATAACAGAGACAGTTCGGCCTATTTTAAACTTGTAAAACTTAATACAACAAAGTTTTGACACAGCTTTAAATAAACATATATAGCTGCCTGTTTTAAAGACTCTAGAAATAACAATTCAGTTCTCTAAAAGTGCAAAGATTCAGAAGGGTGAGAGTTGCTTGAGTGGAAATGGCAGACATTTTTTTTTGCTGCTGTGTGTGAAGTAAAGACACTTTTCAAAGTGGGGCAGATTTGTTGATGATTGGATTGCTGGATTATCAGATAAAAAGAATAATCTACTTTATTAAATATTATTAATATTTGTTTTTGTCAAGCAAAAACCATGAAGAAAATGCCAAATATACTCTGGATGCAGCTTTAAAAAAATGTTTTCTTGTTAAACTGAATATCTTTGGAGTTTAAGACTGTTGGTTGGAGACAAAGACATTGAAAGACATCACCTTGGTGTGATGTCATGTCTTTTGACATGTCAATGACTAAACAGTTAATCACCTGCAGATAAATCAATAACGCAAAGGTCAGCCCTGCATTAGTAGATAGGTAACATAGACTCAGAAACTCCTTTATTTACTGCAACTATTTGAATGTCAAGTTCAAATCATGCACAATTAAGGAAGTAATGTTGCATTGAGCAACAGTTTGGTTTTAATGCTCTAATGCATTCTGATTTGAAAATTGCCTGCTACTCAACATGAGCAAACAACTCTAATGGTAACATTAGTGAAGGTACAGCAAGTCTCTGCTGATGACTTGGCAGATTTGACAGAAACAGTGACTACTCAAAGTTTCCACCACTAATTGGATGTGATGGTGACATTATGATGTATTTCACGGCGACAAGTTGTAGTAAAAACAAAAATGATTTACTTCCATGATGGGACGCCAGGCATCATTTGTGAAGCTCGGTTCCACACAAGTCTTTTAGAGAGCTGTCTGTCTCTCGGAGAAACAGGAGCTATACTCTCAGACTCTGAATTACATTACTAACGAGTTTCTGTGCAGTGATGCGTTGGATGTGATTAAACTGCAGTTTTTTTCAGAATGAAGTAAGGCATTTATCAATATGAAAATCAAAAAAATAAATGGTGCTGTAAATCTGTAATATCACCTAAACTCCATATCAGAGGGTTACCTTTCAGTTAGGTGGCAGCTGCTGTGGTGTAGCACCCCGAGGTGCCGCCCTCGGCCCAGTTACAGTCTTACTGTGGACCGGGACTAGCAAACAGTCAAACACCAACTGTAGATGGAATGACAGGAAGTCATTTAACAACCAGGTGGAGATCGAAACAGACAGACAGAGGGACATTCTGGCAGAGAGACACATTCATAAACAAAATCACACAGACAGGTACCAGCAGACACAACAGTGAGAGAGACTTTAGCGTGCACTGCTTGCTCACAGTCACTATCAAACAGGTGCACACACACACACACACACACACACACACACACACACACACACACACACACACACACACACACACACCTGAACCAAAGCCCTGCGGCTTGTTTTGGGAACAAGTCTGGAGGCAGCTAGCAGGCACACAGCTTCACATGGCTGCATGCAATACACAGTCACACACACTCTCAAAAAGTACATTCAGGCAGATACCCTTGGGTATGCAGTCAGAAACACTCACCAAGAGCATACCCAAAAATACACACACAATGAATAGCATAATGCACACAAACACACACACCATTTTTAGTTTTGGATGAGAGAGGACCTTGGGACCTTGCCCATGGGACCCTCACATAAACTGCACTGTGTATATATAGTACATTTCAGTGCACACCACATAGACACAAACATAAAACGGAGAAAGAGAGAATGCAGAGAAATAATGAAAGCGAATGGAGATGTGCAGGAATGTTTTGCGGCGCGCAGCGTTTTGCAGCAGTGTGGTGCGGTCCTTCATAATGATGGATGGGGCAGGAAATGACAGCATAAGTGGTTATTAAAAAGAGGAAATGGGGGCATTTATAAAAACCACGTTAGCCTGTGTCTGCAGCCCATGTCGCATGTCACCCTTTGGCTGCTGTGTCATGCCTCCTGATCTGTGAGACTTCCCTTGCACTGCACGAGGAACAGCTTTGTTAAAACCCTTTGTCATTCTCTTCTTAAGGAACATAGGCACTGGCATTTATAGCAGGCTTTGTACTGGAGTTACTGTGTCGGATTTACTATGTGCAGGTACCAGGTGCAAAGTTGAACCTGTTTTATTGCCTTATCACTTCATGTAAAAATAGCTTCACTCTATTTCTTTCAAGTTTGAATGTGGAATTCCTTCATAAACAGGTGCCGACTATACAGCTGTTACAAATGCAAATATGTGCGTTTGCACCTGAATGGAATTTGCACAGC